AAAGAGAAAGAGGAGAGGCAGCCGGGAGGAAAAACCTGCACCACGGCCATGATCATTCACAGGCTAGGAAGTCACCGTGTTCCCTCTGTACTTACGAAAAGAGGCTTGAAAATGATCTGCAGCAGAAGACAAAGATGGAAAATACGGAGAAGAGGCAGAACTCAGGACTGCAATTTAAACATTTGTAAGGATCTCAGCATAGGGGCCAGGTGTCGGTGCAGCAGTGGTGTGCGATGCTCTGAGGCTGAATCATGCGGGAAGGTTCTGGGTTTGTATCCAGGGACCTCCCTGAGCAGACCCGGCTGTGCATGCCCATGATCCAGGGCTGCTGGGGTGGAATGCAGCAGAGACGCTGTAGGGGTATTGTCTGTCTCTCATTCTCTGTCCCTCTCACTCAAGGACAAAATAAACTTAAAAAATGTTTTAATTTAAAAATCTTAAAATAATGCTGGGCACAAGATAAGCATCTGGGGACCAGCAGATGGCATAATGGTTACATCAGTAGACTCCTGGTAGTTGGCCGCAGTTCTAGTCCTAGACCTGGCAGCTTGAAACGTGCCAGGCGCGTGTGCGTGCGTGCCCAGGATCCCGAGAGGAGAGTGGAGGAGAAGGGATTGCGGTGACCATCTTGCCTGGGGGGTGATTTCTCGCTTTCTGTCTCTCTAGACAGCACACGTGCCCTATAGCAAAAATCTCTCTTTTAAAAAAAAGTGTATGTTTTAGAATCCTAGTTGACAGAATAAAATTTAAAGACGTTTTCAGACAAACAAAAACAACGTCCTTGCCCATTATGCTGGAAGACTATAATGCTCCTTTCTTAATGATCAATAGAACATTCAGACAAAAATAAAGGCTCAATTTAGAACTGTACTGTCCAATACAATAGTCAAAAGCACACGTGGCTACTAAATGTAAGTTTAAATGAATTAAACGTAAATAAAACTAAAGATCCAGCTCCTTAGTTGTGCTAGTTATAGCTGAAGTGCCCTGTGGCTACCGTGGTGGATGGTGTTTAGAGAGGATGTGCCCGTCACAGAAAGTTGCATCGAACAATCTGGTTTTTGTTTTGTTTTGTTTTGTTTTTGAGAGATTTTCACTGTAGGGCGCGTGCGCTCGCCAGACAGACAGACAAAGACATAGAGACAGAAAGCGAGAAATCACCCCCCAGGGGGGATGGTCACGCCGCAATCCCTTCTCCTCCATTCTCCTCTCGGGATCTTGGGCACGCACGCACACGCGCCCGGCGTGAGTTTTAAGCCACCGGGTCCGGGACACGAACCGCGGTCGACTACGTGGGAATCCAGCGACATAGCCATTACGCTAACTGCTGGTTCCCTGGTTTTTATTTTTTAAATAATTGAACAGGATAGACAAGTTCAACCTGACAGGTATATACAGACACCACACCTGACAATTACAGGACATGAACTGTTACCAAGCACACGTGGAACATTTACCAGAATTTACATATCCACAGCCATACAGCAATACCCTTAATACCTTACAAAATTGAGATTACATAGAGTGTGTTCTGTAACCACTGTTTAACTAAGCTAGATACAACAGGAAACTTTTAAAAATCTCTTCCAGTTTGGAAATTTTAAAAATATTCCTAAATAACCCATGGGTCAAAACTAGAACAGACTTTTGCATAAAAACATAAGGGCACTGAACGCCATGGGGCTGTATACTTGCAGATGATTTCAAGGGTAAATTTGGGGCCTATGTATATTTTGCCACAAATAAATTTTTTTAAATTTATTTATTCCATTTAAGAGACAGAAAAGGAGCAAGAGAGAGAGGCACTGCAACAGGTTCCTTATACTAGCTTCTCCTAGTCAGGGTCACGGGCACCACACACACACCCAGTGTGTACAAGGAGACCGACACAAACCCTGGGACCGTCCCATGTGGCCTCAGCATCGCAGAGTGTTCTGTTACTGCTGCACCGCCTGGCTGACCTACAAATGATTTTTAATGTAATGGTGATAACGCTTTTCTTTCTTAATTCTCATCTTATTGGGAATGATTCTAAAGTTTCCTCATTTGGTAAAATTTTTGCTTTTGGCATAAAGTTTTATTTTAAGAAAATGTTTCCTTATGTGTGTACTATACATAAATGTTAAACTTTAATCATTTATCTCTAGTTAAAAAACTGAATATTCTAAAATGTGTTGAGCTGACAAAATTTCCATGATGCAGCTAAAGCATTAATCAGAGGAAAATATATAGCCTTA